AGGGGTTGAGTGCTTGAATGCCCTTCCTTACCAGTGGTTGAGTGCTTGAATGCCCTTCCTTAAATGCCCTTCTTTACCAGTGGTTGAGTGCTTGCATGCCCTTCCTTAGCAGTGGTTGAGTGCGTGAATGCCCTTCCTTGCCGGCGATGAGCCGAACTGTTATGCTGTGCTGTGCAGTGGTAGTGATGGCTTCGCTGAAGGCCACACGTGAAAGCAGCACTCCCTTACCAGTGGGTTAAGCTGTTGTGCTGTGCAGCCCGGTGCATTATCACTTCTCTGGACGCCACGCGTGAAGTGAAGAAGCTGCTGCAGGCTGCAATCCAGGTGTCTGGTATCCCTCGGGGCTACAGGACTGTACTAGTGCAGAGTTGCACATTCCACGGACAGACAGACTGATTCCTTCCTGCTTCCTCCCTGGCACTGCATGAAACAGTGCAGTACTCGGCTGGCAGCAGTTCAGGCGAGAGCACATCTCCTGAAGCAACGTCTGTCCTTACCTCTCGTCCTTCTTTGCCCACCGCTCGCATCTCGCCTATAATAGACGGATTGGGCACCATAGGCATGCAATTTTCTGACTATCACGAGAACGATCCGTGGGACCCAGAAGGCGATAATTACACTGTTGGAATGTGTGGATTTTCGATCGATCGACTCTCCTTACCTCTTGTCCCTTCTTTTGCCCACTGCTTGCGTCTGGCCTTCGCATCTCGCCTTTGCATCTCGCCTATAATAGACGGATTGGGCATCACAGGCATGCAATTTTCTGACCATCAGGAGAACGATCCGTGGCACCCAGACGGCGATAATTAGACTGTTGGAATGTGTGGATTTTCGATCGATTGACTCTCCTTTACCTCTTGTCCCTTCTTTGCCCACCGCTCACGTCTCGCCTATAGACGGATTGGGCATCACAGGCATGCGATTTTTTCTGACTATCACGAGAACCACGTGGCACCCCGAAGGCGATAATTATACTGTCGGAATGTGGCTTTTCGATTGATTGACGTCCCGCAGGTGCCGACGATGATCCGCCAACTTGAGATGCATCATGCTCCCCTGTGCAAGGCTCTTGATCTTCAGCCTCTGCTTGCATCCGGGCCTGCCCTCCATTGTTTTTATGTAGACCACCAGCCGCTTCTGTGCATCATTATGAGGGCGTGTGTAGACCATCAGCCATTGCAGTGCTTTTGCCCGGGTAGGCTTCTGAAGCTCTGGGGATTGTGGAGTGAGGGCATTGCACTGCGTTTCAGGCCATCACCTGTATTCATGACTCTCTACGTACTGACAAAGGGCTGTTGCACATGGCAGATGACAGCCCTGCTTTCTGGCAGAGCAGAAAATGGTGGCTGCAGAATGTGTTCTCCCCCACTCCTGTTAGATTGCCGGCACAGTGATTCTTGATTGCGGAAATCACCGTGGACGAATGCAGGACGTTTTGGTCATTATTCCAACCGTTTGGGACAATTTTGTTTGCTTGAATGGAGCACTTTTGTCCGATTGCCTGATGTCACACGCAGGGAAGAGTGAGGCAAAATTGTCTACCTTGGGTCTTGCTTGATGACCAAAATGCGGCGCATTTGTCCCAATTCACGTGGAAAAAAAGGGGCAGTATGCTGAAATTGTTTCGGTCGCAGTGTGTGGAGTGCCCCCTGCCATCCTCTGCATCATCTGTATTGTTCCTGCCCTATTTATCCGGAAGGCTTCCCTACAGGCTAACCTTTGCTTGCCACACACTCTCGTGCTGTTTCCCCCCATCTTCACCCGTCTGCTTGCCACAAACAACCCTGCACTCATAAAGAAGAAGAGACAAGAGTCAAATACAGAAAACCAATGAAGGCGTGCTGCCTCTTCGTCTGCATTTTCCTATCCTGCTCCTTTTATTTTACTTTGCGTGCCCACAAAGCTATGTGACAGTATATACAGCAGCCAGAACCTCAACTGCAATGCCTAACTGGCTGACTGACCGTCCCTTACCAGCTGACTCGTGCCCAAGGCTCATCAAAATTCCTGGTTTTTGTATCTGGACATGCCCACTTCTACGGAGCGCTGATCTCACCGCTCTCCAACTTTTTGCTCGTTTTTGCCAATGCCCGTGCTGGCATTGGTTGTGATGTGACGTTTGTCTCGACATCTCATCACGGACAGTCAATCCTTACATATCCCCTTGCTCATCTTGCTGTACAAAACGGCCCACAGAATGGAAAGTCCAGAGAGCCCAGGCAGAACTGCTGCCAACGCAGGATCCAGGCGAGAGGCAGAGAGAAGATGATGAGCTGCACGTCAAGGTCTAGCTAGCTGGTGGCTTAGGGGGATGCACTCGCACTCGGAATTCCTGCAATCAGCTTGAAGTTCATATACATCACGAAAGTCCTAGTGTGAGGAGGTGCTTAAGAGTGGTTGGAGTTGGGTTGACCACACGGATGTGGAGTGGCTGCAGTTAGGTTGGCAATGCAGACGTGTCATCGTCGGAGTTGTGTGTACTTGGAGGACAGGTAGAGAAGAAAATCGGGGTCGAGGACAATCAGCTTCCGCCGGTTTCTCCTTGGATTCGTTTTGTATTTCAGTGTTCCCCAGCACGTAATTCGGTACGAATGAGTTGTGTGATTAGTGGGGTGGACGAGGGGGTTCCGTTAGAGTGAACCACATGATGATGATTAGTTTCAGAAATTCTGTTGCAGACTCCCGAGGTTGGCGAGTTTCACCGAGGCCCGAAATTCGATGGTACCCGCCACTAGCTTGTTAACCATCAGATCATCCGGAAGTACAGCTGCCTCCCGCAGGAGTCTGAGCCGTGTGTGGTTGTTTAAGCCACCATCTCCTCAAAATTGGGCCAATGTGACGCCCAACCTCACGCCCAGCACGACTTCCTGATCGGAGTGGGATGGGGGCCCGGAAGTGGGAAAAGGGGTGTGCCAAGGATTTTAGGAAAGTGGGGGTGGAGTCCCAGTTTGGAACTGAGATCTCCGGTGGCAAGTTTCGGGGGTATAGGCGCAAAGAGGGTGTGCACAAAAGGGAAGCTGCTGATGTCGTGCAGCATAAGGCAGATGGCATGTGCCGTGCCACTCAGGCTAAAGATCCGGGGCACTTTTCCTCAATCACGGTACCGACAGATCTAAACACTCTGCATTCTCGAACAGAATCCCAACAACATTGCCCCTGCCAATGAACTCAACTTTCAAGCCTAAAAGAAATGGGGATCACCATCTCCTCTGGTTTTGCCTTCGTGGCCGATTGTGTGGCTCGATCAGTCGTCGGAGCCCCTTGGCCTTCGTGCGGGTTCGCCGAGCGAATTCCGAGGCTCGATAGGCCTGGTGCCGCTGACACTTTTCGCACGGTATACGGGGCCAATAGCGGGCTATGGAATTCCACGGCCCACTGTGAGTTGGTGGTATGGAAGGAGGAGGTGGAAAGGAGGGAAACTGGTAGTAACAACGACAAAACCGGGGGATATGAAATACTGCGTGTTATAAGTATCCGGATAATCAGGGCCCCTAGGATCGTTAGTTATGGCACAGTGAAAGTCCCTCGCGCACAATCGATCGCTTTCTGTCAAACAGGGGAATTCCAGATTTCAGGAGAATTCCAGATTTCTTAAGTTCCCCCGCCGTCTGAGTTGTTCACCTTCCCAGTATTCGCGGTGTTCCGGGTCCCTCAGACCTTCATGATCGGACATCCAAGAGGGAAATTCCGCGGCCATATCTGTTTAGAAAGTTCGGTCCCCTGCATCCTTATGCGGAGTTCCCGGCTGACTCATGCGGGCGAGCGCGTACGTAGAGACTCAGTTTCCTTGAGATCGCGGTCGTACGCGAGCGTGCACGTGAGGAACAGCGGGTTGGTTCAGCGTGTCGATCACATTCAACATGCATGCTATCCCTGCGGCGTCGGGTGAGATCCAATCATTACATATCATACATGTAACAAAAAGGAGGAAAGAAGA